GGAGGATTACACCAACTGGCGCTCGCAACTGCGGGTTAAGCTGGCGTTCGACTATGCTGTCTTCCCGGATCCTGTTTCCCGTATGCTATATACGGCTCAACGCCTCGGTGGCGACGCGTACGCTCGAGTCCGACCCCGTGTCGATGAGATAGCGGAAAACCCTGGCGACCCTAATAAGTGGACTGCAGGCTGGCGGGACTATGACGACCTGGTGGCGGCCCTTAACCCGGTTTATATTGTTTTCGACGTCTTCGGCCAGGCAGTCCGCGATTTCGAGTCGTTACAACAGAGGAACACGCCGTTCGCCGACTTTATCGCCCGTTTTCAACGCCTGGCGGATGACTCCCAGCAACCCGACCAAGCTAGGGTCGAAGCACTCCGCCGGAAAGTTAGCCGGGAATTAAACGATGCATTAGTTTCGGTAATAGACCGCCCGGACGGTCACGATACCACGAGATGGATAGAGCTATTTAGGCGACTCTCGAATAATATTGCTGATAACGCATATAGACGCCAGGCTATCGCCAGATCCCCGGCCCCAGGAACGCAGGGTATCACGACCGTCCAACCATCTGCTACAGTACGGGACCCTGAGGCGATGGTGCTCGACGCGGTTACCACGTTGCAAATCAAGAAGTTGTCCCCGGAGGAACGGAAACGCCGGCAGGATAACCACTTATGCTTTTATTGTGGTTCGAATAAACATTATTCGATGGAATGCGATGCGAAGAAGAAGGCTCAGGGAAAAGAGTAGCCTCTGTTTCTAGTCGCAAGCAGAGGCAGGAGCAGTTATCTAAGCCGTGGCGAACAACCCCTGAAGACGTGTATATGCGTTCTATAGGCCCTAATACAAGTTTCTCATTTTGCAGCCAGATTTCGTTCGGCGGCAGGGAAACGATACAGGCCAGTTCCCTTATCGATTCAGGATGTTCACCGCTCGGTTTTATTAATACTGCATTCGCGCAGAAAAACTCATTCCCGCTTTCCCCCGTAAACAACCCCACGAATTTACGCTTAGCCGACGGTACCATCGCAGGTACCATCTCCCACACGGCCCGGGTCCACCACCAGCTCGGCTCTTTAGTGGAAGAGCTGGACCTGATGGTCTGGCAGCTCGATGGCCCTGATATCATCCTCGGCCTGCCGTGGCTCCGCCGACATAACCCACCGATTAACTGGACCCAAGGGACAATGCAAGTTGGGGGCACCATCGTTGGGGAATACCACGCCCCCAAAGCAGCCCCGCCACCCCTCCGGGAGGGTAAACCCCAAGCCCCGGTTGATGTCCTCGCTGTTGGCGCGGCACCTTTCTTGACGGTCGCCCGTCAGAAGGGGACCGTAGTTGAAAAGATGTCCATGGCTAAGCTGTATGCAATTACGGACACGTTACTATCCTTGGATTCTGCCATCGATTCACGCTCAGCAGATGAGGTAGTGCTAGGGAGCGAATCGGCTACCTTACGGAAGATCTTACTTGGCGACCCATCCCTTACTATAGGGGAACTAGAGCCACGCCTCCGTGACTTCCACGATTGGGTGGCGGAAGCCCCATGGTTACGTCGCGTTACAGAAGACGATATCTCTCAGTACCTCCAGGGCAAACCACAGCTTTCCAAGGATGAAGTCCTTTCGGCTTTACCCCCTTGGCTGCACTCGAAATTCGATGCGTTCGACCCCGAGCGAGCTAATGCACTACCGCCTCACCGCCCTTGGGACCACAAGATCGAGCTCCTCCCAGGACAAACGCCACCTTACCACCGCTCTCGCGCTATGTCCCCGAGGGAGCTGCTCGCGATTCGGAAGTACTTGGACGAGCACCTCTCTAAGGGGTTTATTCGGGCTAGCACCTCCCAGGCCGCGGCACCGGTCCTATTGGCTAGGAAGCCAGGCGGCGGCGTACGTGTGTGTGTAGATTACCGTGGCCTTAATAACGTTACGGTAAAGAACCGCTACCCGATACCTTTGATAAGGGAGACGTTAGATGCTTTATGTAACGCTAAGTTCTATACGAAATTAGATATTACAGCAGCATTTAATAACCTTCGGATCGCCCCGGGAGACGAATGGAAAACAGCGTTTATTACTCGCTTCGGGTTATTCGAGTGTTTAGTAGCGAATTTCGGAATGACAGGAGCCCCAAGCTCGTTCCAGCATTACGTGAATAATGTTTTATTCGATATCTTAGACGACTACGTCACTGCATACCTAGACGATATCCTGATATATAGTAAAACGAGACGGGACCACCGGCGACACGTCCAGGAAGTAACCCAGCGACTTATGTCCGCTGGCCTTACTATCGACGTACGCAAATGTGAATTCGAAGTTACCGAGACAAAGTATTTGGGTCTAATTATCACGACGTCTGGGATCCGCATGGACCCCGACAAGGTGGCGGCCATAAGGGGATGGGAGATTCCGAAGACCTTGAAGGACCTCCAACGTTTCGTCGGCTTTGCAAATTATTATCGACGCTTTATCAAGGGATTTTCACGCATAGCACAGCCGCTGACGGCGCTGATGTCCAAGGACAGGTGGCCAGCCAGCCCCCCTGAGGTTGCAGTTACGGCATTCCAACGCCTGAAGGACGCCTTCGTTACGGCACCGGTGCTCTCGTATTACGATCCGTCACGACGAACAGCGGTGGAGGTTGATGCTTCCGACTGGGCGTCAGGGGGAGTCCTCTCTCAATACGACTCAGAGGGCCACCTCCACCCGGTCGCTTTCTTCTCGTCCAAGCACTCCCCTGCCGAATGCAACTACGAGATCTACGATAAAGAACTACTTGCGATAGTGAAGGCTTTCGAAGAGTGGCGCCCTGAATTGCAGGGTACGGAGCGAGCGGTAGAGGTAATAACGGACCATAAGAACCTCCAGCATTTCGCCACTACGAAGCTACTCAACCAACGCCAGGTCCGGTGGTCAGAGTTCCTTAGCGATTTTCGCTTCCAGATAGTATACCGCCCGGGGAAGCATGCAGTGGTACCAGACGCCCTATCCCGATTACCAGGCGCCGCACCAGCGGATAAGACCGACTTAGCTGACGATAGGGTGGCGGCAAGATCAAGGATTATATTACCTCCTGAGAGATGGGCAACCTTATTCGCTTTAGACGTTACCGAACCTATTGACGACCACATCGATAGGGCATATTCGGCCTCTAAACAGGCGCAGGTGATGTTAGATTGTATACGAGACCCTTTGATAACGAAGTTCCCCCGAGCTATCCGCCGCGAATTACGCATCACTATGGGCGATTGTACGGCGACTCGGGGCCGGATCTATGTCAAAGACAAGTTATTCCTCCCCGTTGACGAGGAGCTCCGCCTACAGGCCTTACATAGGGCACATAGTCTTGGCCCTTCAGGCCACCCAGGGAGGTTCAAGACATATGAGCTATTGCAGAGGTCTTATTTCTGGCCACGTTTATCAAGAGACGTCGCTTCTTTCGTTAAGGGATGCCATTTATGCCAGCGGGTTAAGAACTCTAGATCGGCACCAGCGGGATTTTTGGACCCTTTACCCATCCCTTTTAAGCCGTGGTCGGATATTTCCGTCGACTTCGTGGGCCCCTTACCACCTTGCGAGCGGCACGGTATTATCTACAACCACGCGTTAGTGGTAGTGGATAGGCTAACGAAGATGCGTCACTTTGTAGCCGTCCCCGATACGAAGGCGGCCACTCTCGCAGACGCCTTCGTTACGTGGGTGTACCGCTTACACGGCACCCCCACGACAATCATTTCAGATAGGGGCACCCAATTTGTCTCGACGTTTTGGGGAGAACTGAGCCGCCGCTTAGGGGTAACGCTGAAGTTCTCTACAGCATACCACCCCGAATCGGACGGCCAAACCGAAATCGTCAACGCTGCTATGGAGCAGTACTTACGTGCGTATTGCAGGTTTTACCAGGACGACTGGGTCGATTGGTTTCCCCTCGCGGAATTCGCTACGAATAACCAGACTTCGGAATCCACGGGGGTTTCTCCGTTTTTCGCTAACTACGGTTGGCACCCGCATATGGGTACGGAACCGGTGCGGGAGGCCGACGCCCCCAAAACGGCTACGCAACAGGACGAATTCCATAATGCCAGCGTAGTAGCTGATAGAGTGGAGCGGGTGGTAACCCGCGCTCGCGCCTTCCTAGCGGAGGCCCAGGAGCAGCAAGCACGCTTCGCAAATGAGCACAGGTCAGACGCAGGCCGCTTCCAAATAGGGGACTTAGTCTGGGTTAATACCAAGAATATGAAGACAGGCCGCCCGATACCGAAACTCTCGGATAAATGGGCGGGCCCGTTCCCAGTAACAAAGGTATACCGTAGGGCCCTAGCAGTTCAGCTACCCCCGAGGTACCAAATCTTCCCAGTTTTCCACGTGTCGTTAATACGGCGAAACGAGACCGGTTACCCTGGCCAGGAGAAAATCAACGATGAATACGACGCACGAGCGATGGGCCGCGTAGTTGGCAAAGACGATAACGGTGAAGACGGCGAAGAGGAGTGGTTTTTCGATAAAATTCTCGCCTCTAGGTTTACGGATACCGGCTTAGAATATAAGGTGAAATGGCCAGCCCCATGGCGACCATCTTGGGAGCCGGCTATACACCTAGAGGGTTGTGATTCGGATATCAAAAAATTCCACAAAGATAACCCAACCATGCCTGGCCCAGAGCCTATAACACCCGTCCCTCCCGCCCCTATTACGGGTCGGCGGAAGAGGGGACGCCCACGGAAGATTTAGGATAGTGGTGTTAGCCCTATTGTTACATATAATCACTGTCACCATTTCATAGGGTTAGAAGAGTGTGGAAGGGTGGAATTTCAAGTCGCGGGCGGCTACCCGCGAGGGTGTCGGCCGCCAGAGCCTGGCGTCTAGGCGGCGCAGGATTAGCGACACGACGGCCATGCACAACTACTGTGCCCTATTTACCAACGCCAAGGGGTCAAAGCCCAAACAAGTTCAACGCAACGAGGAAAAAAGACAGGGGAACGCCAACGCAACGACAGCTATGGGAATCGAACCCACGTTCTCAGAGTCCAAAAACTCTGCGCCTTACCACTCGGCCTAGCTACGTTGCGTGGGCGTCGCCCCCCCTAAACGGCATGGCATATCATCCTCCTCCATCTCCACAACGGCTTCCTGGGCAATGAAGGCCTCCCAATCGACACGGATGAGGGTGCGAACCTCGCGCATGAAAGTGCGCTTGGCCGTGTTCCAGCTCATATGGCCGGCGTCGCCATGCTGAAGGCGCACCTGCGCCAGGGTCACGTCAACGGACCGCCAGGAGCAGGAATGGGGGATTGATAACTTACAGCAGTCGTAGCTTCCTAAGCAGGGACGCGGCGGGCCTTCTTGGGGCGAGCAGGCGAACTGGCCAGGTTCACTTGCAGGCGGGACTGGACGAGCGATAGCATGGCTCGCTGAGTCTCCTATAGGGACACAGGTTAGCCACGTCATGAGGGCGGGAGGTTGGCATCGCGACATACCTGTCGGTTCTTCTTGGCCCCGGTCAGGCCATGCTCGGTACGGCAAGCCTTCTCTGCAGCCTCGAAAGCGTTGCCGAGGTTGAGGACCAGGCGAGCGACCGAGACCCTGGCGTTGCGACTGTAGAACATGGCGGCCTCCCCGTTCTCGATGGCAGCATCGTGCATACCGTCCGCGATGTCCTCTGCGCCGACGGTGCGCCAAAAGCGACGGACATAGTCCAACAAGGCCACGAAGTCGATGGCGTCACCTTTCATGAGCGCCACGGTCTGCGTGGCGTTAGTATGGCGCAGCCACATCCTTAGGGGAGATACTCACGCATTCGCATGTGTCTTTGCGGGCACCACACTGACGGCAGAGAACCGATCCAGGATTCTCCTCACAGAGGAGGCGAAACACAGGCGGCTCCGAGCCGTCCCGGCAGCATTGGTCAACAGCCGCTAGGTAATTCTTGATGCTAGTCCTGAGGCAATGAAGACAGAACAGCTCCCCGGCCTGACACGCATGTGGCACACGGGCCAACATGACGGCGCGGCTGGGCACCTCTGGGTCGTCGTCACCTGAGCCTGAGCCTGAGCCTGAGCCAAAGCTTGCGAAGCTTGGGGAGCGGGCAGGAGGCGGACTAGGAGCGAAGGGGTCCTCAAGTGCGAACGACATGGCCGCGATGATCGAGTGATGTATGTGAAGTAGGAGTGATATGTGTTGGAACGTATTTGCCCGCGCGGAAGGCTGGCGTTTCGAGAGAAGGATGGGTTCGTGAACTTGGTGCTACAACGTTGGTGGAAAGAAGAAGAAAAAATTTTAGAAGTGAAAATTCGGGAAGGGCAGGATATGGGGGCGACGCGGCGGGGATGCGCGGTCGTCCGGGTGGCGGAGCCGTGACGCGACAGGCAGCTGGCGACGGGCACCCGAGGCGGATGCACCGGCCGTCCGGGCAACGGGCTTCGCGATGCCGGCGCACGGACACCCGGGTGCACGGATCTTACAGCGCGATTGCGGTCAATCGCGGTTTGGAGGTGGGGCTACTGTCACGGGACCATGCCGCCGGCCCCACGGGGGCCGTGCGCCCACGATGAAAACCCTTCACGATACCATAGCATAGTTCCTCTTCCCGCACAACAACAATATACTAAGAGTACCCCTACGTTGTGTACCAGGGCCGTGACAATATCTTTATTTCGGATCTACCAATAAATTTAATTATTTTATTAATATAATTAATAAATAATAATCCTTCGTATAACGTCAAGCATCAGCGAGCTGGCCACCCCCACCGAGCTGGCCACTTTCAGTGCCAATTGGCACGGATTGACAAATAACTTAACCACAACGTAATAAATCAATTGAAACTACTCTAAATCTTCATTATCAGACGATGGCAATTCGACTTGACAAGTGCGCGCATTATGCCCAGTCCCGTTACAGATGCCACAACGCCTGGCGCGCGTTTCGGTACGCCTTACACGACCACTATTTTGACGCGTTTCCTCCTGTATCTGCGTCGCCAATTCCTTTGACTCTCTCAAATCTGTTGCCTCTTCGAAAGTAAGTGCTCCTCCATCCCGTAGTCTGGTTTTTTTGGCCCTCCGACGTTTGCTTAATATCGAATTGGCCTCCCGAAGCTCCTTGTTCTCGGCCTCGATAAGAACCAACTTATGCATTATCATTTTTGTCCCCTTCGCAAGAGCGTCGATAGCACCTAAAATACTAGTCGGGGAGCTATTCTGATGCTCGGAGACTCTCTTTTTTAAAAAAGTAGACTGCGAATGGGCTTCTGTCGGGTTATTCGGCGTTTGCGACACCCAAGGTCGGGCCTCGATTTCGGGAGACCCAGGAGGTGTAGGAGTCCGTAACCTTATATCCAGTTTTGAAATAACCTCTTCTGGATTATAAGGTACGAGGCCTGACCCTCTAAATCCAGCCTGAACGTTGCTTTCGCCAAAAACGGAGAAGAATGCGTCTTTAAAAAGGGGAAGGAAGTCTTCCTTCGTGATGTGTGTTAGAGACCGGCGCATCATTTTTTCTACTAACTCTCCATACTTCCGCTTTAGTGGCCCAAAACACGCAACGTCAAGTGGTTGAAGGATGTGAGATGAGTGAGGAGGCATACACAAGGTTATTATTTTGTGTTCCTGACAAAACAGCTCGAAATCGCCGGAATGGTGGCTCTCATGCCCGTCAAGCACTAACAAACGGTATACCCCCGTTTTCCGATCTTTCGTATGCTTTTCAAAATGTTTGATAAATTCCAAACCAATCTCATTCGTCGTCCATCCATTAGGACTAGGCCGTACTGCCCATTCTTTCGGGATGGTGATGTCTCCGTACCAAGAAGCGAGGTGATACCGGCCCGCAACAACGACAAACGGTGGCAGCGCCCAACCGGTAGATTGGACGCCTTGGACCACAGTAACCCATTCCCTATTACCTTGTTGCAATGTTTTAGGCCTTGCACGTCGTTCGGTACTCGTAACTACCATACTGGTTGAGATCTTGCCCATCAAAAACCCAGTCTCGTCAAAGTTGAATATATCCTCCGGTAGGATACCGTATTTGGCGCAAACGTTCTGAACAAGCCGAAACCACTCTCCAATAAGCTTTGGATCTTCGCATTGGGCCCTTTTATAGTCGTAAGGGCGATTCCAGCGCGTTTGTAACTCTGGTCGGCGTACGACGAATCTTTCTGCCCAGTTCTTGCCAACGCGCGACGCGATACGCGACGCGCGTATTGAATTCGCCATAGCTTCCACATCAGGATACCTGGGAGGAAATCCTCGCGCATCTAGGTCCAATATATGCTTTACGATGACCTCCTCTTCTAAATCCGTCAAAGTCTTTGAATTGGGCATGGTATCGCGTCGGTAAGGTACGCCTTGTATACGGGCCTGAAGGGTGCTACGGGGGACTTCGTAGATCGATGCAGCGCGTCGCGCGCTTAGTTTTGGGTTGTTTTTGATAGCTTGGAGCGCTAATAATAAGTCTGCTTCTTTATAAGACTTTTCCATAATGAATGGTTAAGTAATTAGGTTCGTAAGTCAATCCGTGCCAATTGGCACGGAAAGTGGCCAGCTCGGTGGGGTGGCCAGCTCGCTGATGCTTGACGTTATATAAAACTAAATATCTAATATTATTATATATTTAGTTTTATATAAAGCCCGCACACCATTCCCTTATTCCTACGACGCTAGGAACTATATATAATATATAATAGATAAGAAACCAAATATATAATTATATTCAAATATTTGGTTTTATGTCCACCCTATTCACACTTGTCCATTATTAGTATATTTGGTTTCCTAGCCGCCTACCCTAATATATATATCTATTAACTTCTAGTAAGGTTATTATTTATATTCTGTTAATAACAAATATAAAAGTAGTTAACTTTATAACTATTTATGATAAAAAGACCTAATATAATTATATATATACCCTTTGGTCTGCCGATATTAACCACGTAATCTTAGTTTATAGTCCGGTATTATTACAAAAGTTCCCATTACCCGCCAAGATTATATATAATATATATATTAGGTTTTTAACGTCTATACCTAATCTATATATAATTATTATATCCTCCGGGTTAACTACGGAAGATCACCTAATTAAATGGACATTTTATATAATGAAATCGTTTGTCTATAACCTTTTAGAGGCGTAAACTTAGACTGAATATATTATAATACTAAAAGACCGGTCGCTAATTAAGATTACCCTTCAATTTAAACGTATCCGTTCTATATTTAACCATAATTTTAGTCGGTATTTATAGGTGGTCTTTAATATTCCGCTTAATAGGCACTATAATCGCGTTATCCGACGT